CCCCCCCCCCCGCTTACTGCTTTAATGCTATTCTAAATGTAAATACCAGCCCATTCTGCTGTTATCAAACGCGGAGCACCGTCATATTCCTATAGTAAGCTCGGAGTGAACAGGCTCAAACAGCCTGACCCACGCAGCAGAGCGCATGTCTGAGGTCTGAACCCACGTTTAACTCCGAGAACTTTCTCAGCGAGTTATGCACCTGCAACAACTTCCCTCACCGTCCGCAGTGTCCGACAAACCGGCGAGTGCGGACTATGTTTTTACGCACATCGTCGCCGCCGGGGACACCCTGGAGAACGAGCCACCGTTGAAAAGACTCTCCACCGGGATGAGAAACCCCTCAAACGCTCTGGACTACGTCTCCGCGGCACGGGATGACCGTGAAAGTGCGGACAAGTGTGATTTGCCTGAATCAAGCCAAGCCCGCGTGGATTTCGCCTTCTCTTCTGCTATGTTCGCGTATTCGGGGCAGCCTTTGCCCGCGCTCCCGCCACTCTCCGGTCCCTACATGACACCTCACCCGGTCATCAGCAACGGGCCGTACAATGGGCTGAGCTATGCGTACTCCCAGCAGTACGGACAAACTTACCCAAACACCGCCGTCTATCCTGGAAAAGCCCAGGTTTACCTCTGTAACCGCGCGCTGTGGTTCAAATTCCACAGACACCAAACAGAAATGATCGTTACCAAACAGGGGCGGTAAGTCTACTTTTTAAATGTATTTTAATTGGGTTTTTTTTTTTAAAAAGCAAAAGTGACTGCATTGCTTTTTATTAATAATTTTTGATAATTTGTAATATTGTAATGTTATTTGTTGCATATTTTATTAATGCCAATAGCCTATAATTGATTTGTTGGTAATTATAATAAATTAATAATTTTGGGAAAGTATTTTTTTCTGTTCAGATTATTGGTCTATGTCTGTTGGCCTGTTTCTGGTATTGCAAGGTGTCGTTTATATTTATTTTTAATGTAATTGTTTAATAATAATTTACTTTTGGAAAAGTGATTTGTTTTTTCGGTTCATTTTCCTGCAGCCGGATGTTTCCGTTTCTAAGTGTTAGTGTTGCTGGTCTTGACCCGACGTGCCATTATAATATTGTTGTGGATGTGATTCTGTCGGATCCGAACCACTGGAGGTTTCAGGGCGGAAAATGGATTCCCTGCGGCAAAGCGGACACTAATGTTACGGGTAAACTAGTAATAATCAACCGACTGAAGAGGAATTTATCATAAAGCTTTTCTCCGTTTTCCTAAGCGCAAATAACCAGGTTTATAAATATACACAGAGAAAAAAACCCTCAAATATTAATAAATATAGTCTACAGTTATTATAATGTTAGTTATTTCCGTTTAATAGTAACATATGTATTTTAAATGTTTTTATTGTTAAAGGAAACCGAGTATACATGCACCCGGACTCTCCAAACACCGGCGCGCACTGGATGCGTCAGGAGATCTCGTTTGGAAAACTGAAGCTGACGAACAACAAGGGAGCTTCCAGCAACTCTACCCAAGTGATTTCTTATTTCATTTCATTTTCTCTTCATGATAAGAATCGGAAGTCTTTTAGTATAGGGTGAGTTCAGAAAAAGCTAGACATCAGGTGAGTAATTGGCAATAATTTAATGAATTTTTAATTTGCCTGCGATGACCGCCAGCAGCAAATGTTAACATCGAACCAATTTCAGCTGGCACATGAAAAATTACCTTCACAAGACTATTTAGGGGTACAATCACTTTTATGTTAACATGTTGACATAAAGTAGCACTCTTAATTCAGTTCACCCAAAAATGAAAATTCTGTCATTAATTACTCACCCTCATGTCGTTTCAAACCCGTAAGACCTTCGTTCATCTTCAGAACACAAATGAAGATATTTTAGATGAAATCCAAGAGCTTTCTGACCCTGCATAGACAGCAACGCAACTACCACATTCAAAGCCCAGAAAGGTAGTAAGGACATCATTAAAATTGTTGAAAAAAGTCGTTATTTTTGTTTTCTTTGTGCACAAAAAGTATTCTGGTAGCTTCATAAAATGATGGTTGAACCACTGATGTCACATGAACGATTTTAACAATGTCCTATAACCTTTTTGGGCCTTGAACGTGTCAGTTGCATTACTGTCTATGCAGGGTCAGAAAGCTCTCAGATTTCATCAAATTTATCTTAATTTTTGTTACGAAGATAAACAAAGGTCTTACAGGTTTGGAATGACTAATAAATGACAGAATTTTAATTTTTGGGTGAACTAAACCTTTAAGTATCACTATGAGGTAAAATGTAATGTTCCATGTCATATTTATGTGTGTGTGTGTGTGTGTATATTCATTACTATTATATATGGTTTGTGAAGATTCTTATGGGAATGGGAAACAAAAGTAGCCTTTTTATGTTGATTTTTTCTTTGTCCTTCAAGATGATCGTCCTACAGTCTCTCCATAAGTATCAGCCGAGGGTGCATGTGATTGAAATAAACAAGAGTGGAGAGGAAGAGACGAGTGATCCCGATCGAGTACAGACATTTACTTTTCCCGAAACACAATTTATAACGGTCACAGCTTACCAGAACACAGACGTAAGAACTAGTCTATCACTGCATTCGTTTACATTACATTACAAAAACTGTAATATGAACTGATTTAATGAATGTGTTTCTTTTATTTCCTCAGATAACACAACTAAAAATTGATCACAATCCATTTGCTAAAGGATTTCGGGATAATTATGATAAGTAAGTGCCTTTCCATGCAAATTAATGCATTGCTAATTATTTCTCTTGCAGGTTTTCAGATTTGAATTTGAATTTGGACTTGACTGCAGAAATTAACATGATCTATTTTAAATGTAATTTAAATAAATTTAATTTAATAATAATAACAATGATAATTTGAATTTTTCTAACAACATCTTAAAGCATTTATTTCTGGTAGCACTTTATATTACAATGTGCATGTTGCACATATTCCAAATTAAAATAATTAATTACAAATGCAATGGGTCTCAGTCACTAACACTTGCTCGGATTATTTAGGATTTTTACGCACAGGAGAACTTTTGATGAAAAATTTCACATTCATACGAAAATGAATTTGTTTTTAACCTCTTGTAATGTCAGTGGAAGTTTTCTAAATGAGCAACCACTTGCCTAAGTTTAGTCATTTGCATAAAACACGCCCAAACCATACAGCCTTTGGTCACTCTGAGCAAACATACAACACTCGCAAAATGTCTCATTAGCTAGCTGTACATATGCGAATCTCTGCGTTATTATTCATTGTGACCTCTCAGATCAAGCTATAACACAGCTTTTCTTCCACTGCTTTTCTTTCACTCTATATATTGAAATATTTAAGATGAAATATAGTTTTCATCTCAACACGATCATAACGCCACCCAGAGTATGTGCTTTTTTGTTGTAGATCTTTTTGTCAATTTTAGCACAAAAGTTTTTGGTGAATCATGATTTGTTGGTAAAACAGTTGTACACAAGCACAAGTTATTCAGTTATTCCTACATTTTTTTCACAAGTTGTAGTTGGAAATTTTTTGGTGAATCTTGATTTGTTGGTGAAAATGTTTGAATGCAGATTTCATGCACACATTTGTGCATGCACATGCTTAGTGAAACCCAGAGTATGCTTTTTGCATATGTGTGGTTTTGTTGTTCCTATATACATTTTAGAAAGACAGTTTTTGGTGAATCCATGATTTTTTTGTGAAAATGTTCATACGCAGATTTCACGTACAAATGTGTGCATGCTTAGTGAACCCAGAGTTACTATGCATATGTGTGGTTTCAGCTGTTCCTACATTTTTCACAAGTTTTTATATGAACATTTTGGGTGAGTCATGGTTGGGTGAAATTGTTTGTTTGCAGGTTTCACGCACAAATTTGTGTGTACACATGCTTAGTAAACCCAGAAGAGTATGTGATTTTTTCATAGATGTGGTTTCAGTTATTACTGCATTTTATTATAAATTTAGACAACATTATAGTATAAAAGTTTCTGGTGAAATAGAATTTGTTCATGAAAGTGTTTGTATGCCGATTTAATGCATAAATCTGTACATACACACGCTTAGTGAATGAGACCCAGTGTCACTAACAGTAACATGGACATTCTAACGTAAAATGTGTGACCTCATTTATTCTCTGTCTCCAGAAGTTACAGTGGCTCTGACGCTGACCGATTGACCCCTACACTCGGTGGCTCTCCACAATCTCAGATGCTGCCTGGCTCGCAGTATGCAATGACAAGCACTTTATTTCAGGAGCAGTTTGTCAACAGTTACACAAAGTCCTGTTTTCCAACTCTTACCCCTGACCCTGGCCTTGCAACCTCAAACCAATCCCAAGAGAGCAGCTTGGCCTCCGGGCAGCACTGGCTTGTGTCTTCCACTGCTGCTCCATTATACGAAACCGATATTAACACAGCAGCTCTGCTCTCTTACGCCACAGCGGGGGTCAAAGGTCTGCCTTTCACTGGTGGCACTAGTACAAGTCTGGATTACTACACTAGTTCCGCTGGATGGGATTCACAGGGTTCGCTAGAGAACAGCAGTAAAACCAGCTCAATACTGCCTGGTTGGGTTCTAGATGCAGGTCTTGAAAGATCAACACGATCGAATTACATGCCTGAGGATGGAGATAGGTTGGAAATAGACCGGTCAGCTCTTGGAGTTTCTAAGGAGCTGGAAGGTGAAGATGCCACGGATTCGACATGGACCGAAACTCAGTCTTCCATTAAATCTGTCGATTCCAGGATTTCGGAGGAGGCTCAACTGAAAAATCCTTCTATCAGTCCAGTTTCAGACGTTCAGACTGCGAAAGACATGCAGAACAGGGTCAAAAATGGGATTAAAGAATCTGACTTTTTTCATTTCGACACTCAAACATAAACCTGCCTGGGCTGTGTGCGCAATTAAAATGTTGTTAATATGGAAATAGCATTATGATGATGATTTATGTATACAGCATTTATTTATTTCCATGTTACACTGCACCATTGAAGATGAATGAGAACTGACATCCCCAACTATCTAAACACGCTGTATTTGACGGCTTATATGGCTATAATCTGGTCGTGGTATTATAAAAACAAAAGCAAAAAAAAAAAAAAAACATACATTAAGACCAACATGTCTGTATTTGTTACAATATGCATCCCCAGTATAATGAATCTAAATAAATGATCATTAGCTTAAAAATCACGGCTGCTTAATATGAAAAATTTTATTGATTGTGATGTATCAAAACAGTAGCTATCTTGCTCAAAAGAACAGGTCTTTTTTAATTAGATGCGTATTGTGAAATATCGAATATGATAATGTGAAGTCATGACATTCTGCTGCTGTCAGAATGTTTGATGTGTATAGCCTTTATGAATTATCAGAGGTTGAGTATAAATAAATCCCATAAAAACTTAAATACTAGTTTACATTCGGTTGCTTATTTATTGACATAGTAGTTTCAAGATTGCAAGTTGGTGTGAGTGTATTAAAATATTTTACTACACTGACACCTAGCGCGAATGCAAGCTGTCTGTGTTGGCAGTTCACCAGGTTTTGGAACACCGGTTATGTGTCCTTGACCTGGAGGAAATAATAGTTTAATTCACCCATAAGCGATAGGATTAAACACGGCAGCAGAATCTATGACTAAATACAGCTACAAACTTTCTTAGTGTACATTACAGTGAAGGGATCAAGAGAAGAATGAAGCTCCTTCAACAGCTGTTGAACCCGAAATAACCAGAGACCACCTTCACAGAGCCGGCCAAAGCATGCATTAGTATTTTTGACGCATTTCTTGCATAAATAAATGAATAATAAAAAAGAATACAAAAAAAGAAAAGTTCACTCAAAATTGACAATTGAGCCATTTTATTCAGCTATGTTTGGCTTGACGTATAAATGCCACTTGCTTTGTATAAGACTGGGAGTGTACTATAGTGAAAGTATATTAAATTAGGCAATTTGTATGGTGATTTTAATGTGATGTGTGATCCCCATCCACCCCACCTTTTTGGTGCTTTAAAATTTAACAAATATTTCCTTTTTGTGTTCCACAGAAAAATAACAGAATATGGATATTGAGCACCATAAAGGTGAGTAAATAATGAAAGTATTTTGGGGGAACTATTCCTTTACTATTTCAGCACAAAAATTATATTTGAGTATTTATATATTTTTTAAAACGCACACAAGGTGGTGCCAAAGGAAGAGTTTATTGACTAAGTTACTCGGTTAAAGTCCAGCAGCAAAGCACTATATGCAACTGTTTACATTTAATTAAGAAGTGTAAAGGTTCAACACTTTTTTTTCTGAAAAATAATGTTGTATAAATTGTTCGTGCTGTAAATGTAATTCCACTGCTGGTACTGACCTATCTCTCAGATATAAATCCATCATGGATTTGAAAGTCACTTTCTGGGCACTTACCCTTGCACGCTATTGAACATTTCCACTGTTACTGGCCAGGAAAAATAGATACAGTTGATTTTGTGACAACATGCCCATAGTGGTCATGTATTCTA